TGGCTAAACGGTATATCCAACCGCTGAAGCGGAGTGGGGGTGGGTGTGCGTGCGAGTGGGTGTAAGGGAACAGGAAATGCGCATTGACGGACTAGGAAGGGAGCAATGAACAGCGAATAGTACAGACAAAGGAACTCAAGGCCCAGTCGCACCTTGTGAACTCCTTAAATGTTTCATTAGACCCTTCTTTTTATCTTATTTTAATTTTTTTTGTGATGTGGCGCGGCATGTCGTGAATTTCGTGCATTCTGGAAACTTTCAACTTCATACGCATTCTGGTATTTGCTTTGAGAAAACGCAACGCTAGTCGAATATATGCCTTTGACTAACAATTCTCCAAAAAAGTCAGCGCTCCGTTCACTTTTCATAATAATTATCGTGTCACATGCGTCCGTTTCGAAAAGTTACTGTTTTCAAATATCACCAAATATTAATACAAAATTCATATGTATTCTGGTGTTTGATAATGGTATATATATGGGGGAACCTCGACGCGAGTTTCGGCCCGCAGGAAAAGGTTTTTTTTTTCTCTTCCTAATGTTTCGTCCTTTCCGGATATTAATTCATATATGGGCTACACGCTTATCCGCTCCAACCATATCACCGCATATCCAAGAACGCGCACACGCGCACACAAACCGCAGGGATAAGCTGAGGCTGCTGTGTGGGTTACAGGTGGGGGATTGTGATCGGCCTGCCCCAAGGGTATATCTGTAGGCTAGCTGCGAATAACCAATAAGCAGTCTTTGACCAAAAGCTCAGGCTACTGTGGGGGTGATCGGTCTGTGTGTACCCAAAGGTATATCAGTAAGTTAGCAGTCCCCGACCAAGAGCGGCAGAGGAGAAGCGGTGGCTGAAAAGGCCGCATAACCCTGCGAATCTGCGGTGAGAGGACGAGTAATAAAAACAATTTAAACTTGTGAGAAGGAAAACAAATACATATTATATATATTTAAAAAAAAAAGAAAGGATAATGCCTGGCTAAACGGTATATCCAACCGCTGAAGCGGAGTGTGGGTGGGTGTGCATGCGAGTGGAAAGGACAAACGAGCAGCAAACAGTGCAGACAACGCGCCTCATAGACGGACTTAACTCGTGGGTCCAGTCCCACCGTGTGAGCTCCTTAAGACAGGTTTCGTTAAAACCTTCGGTTTTTACCTTATTTTAATTTTTTTGTCAGGCGACACGGCATGTCATGAATTTCGTAAACGCTCCCCCGCAAATGAACTGTGCCGTTGACAACACATAGCAGGTCTTAATCGAAAACACGGAACAATTATTGACTGTGCATGGCATGGTCGGCGTACACATACTTGTTTCATCTTTAGCCGTCGCACGCAATCATGCATGTGAATATACATTAACGATTATTTTGAATTCTTCTTTATAATTCCAAGGTTAAAAGAGATTTCGTGATACTTACGTGTCCATCTTATATGGATTTACATCCGAAGATTAAGAAATAATAGATATGGCTTTCCGTTCATAACATAAAAAAACACATCCTCAAATTTAGCATAACTTGCTGGACATATACCTTTCTTTTTATGTGTAGACGATGGCTACGGACCTAATGTGTACATGTGTCTAAGCCATTACAAACCGGGTTACCTTAGCAGAATACAATAATATATATATATATATAAACACATATTTGCTAAGCTCAGACTATTGTGGGCCACATGCGAATAACACAATAAGTAGTCCCCTACCAAGAGCGGCGACTGAAAAGTCCGCACACCCCTGTAAATCTTCGGCAGCAAGTGCCACCCCCCTTTGTACATGTGATACCCGCTCCCAGTAAGTGAGCGGCAGTAAGGGAGAAAGATCCGCGGTAGAAGCTTATGGATAGGCGTCAAAATTGGGACCGGGAAAGTTTTGTTGTTGTATACCGGGCAAGGTATACGATTTGAGACTACGTCTGGACGCTAGTCCGATAAGGGCAACACGAAGAAACGCTATTCGAGCAATCAAGCGACAAGAGAAGAAATATCGAGAACAAGACAAACTGTGTGAAACTTGGCGGCTATATTAACGAATCACCGACAGTTTCGAGGTAGCATGTACGAAATGTACAAAGATGGCGCACTGATGAGCATGCTGCAAGTCGTAAAGAGTTTAGTGATAAGAGTTCCGAAATCGCCGCACAAAGACGCGCAAAGAGTGATAAGGTGAAGTTCGCAAACCTCGCCGCTGCGGATTCGTCAGGTCCGTGTTTAAACCCAAGGAAAGTCACAGAAAGCTCAAGGACACGGACTCGCTGACGTTCCAAGGCCGTGACGTAACTAGCACATATATAATAGCATGTAGAAGGCATCTGACGGCTAGCAGACACCAAAGGATGGGTGAACGTGGGAGCGAAAAAGAAGGTAGACCGTCCGGGAACACCTCCCAAGGTTAGGTCCGTTGCTAATGATGTAGCAGCTTCGTGGAGTAGTGCAGAAGATAAGGAGAACGTAGAAGGTAGAGCTGCTACTGCAACTTAACCGGAGCGGAGAAAAAGTGGCAGAGCTAAGAGAGACAGTGGGTTGGTTTCTAGCAATGGCACAGACATCGCCGAGCTCACCACCAAGGGGGACATAAGTAATGACGTTAAGGAGGCTAAGCTACCAGCAGGTTGGACGATCAACGGACCAAGGAGCGCACACCCTTGGTGAGATGCTTCCGACGCTTGGAGTTAGCGCATAAGGCGAAGCAATGGGAGGGCCCGGTTGGCTGATCAAAGACCTGTCGGAAATGAGAAGAGGAAGGGCATATGGCAAAAAGTTGCAACAAGAACGTTTTCTGCTTGTTATCCAGTAAGACGCCGGGCTTCGATGCAAAGCCCGTAGCGATAAGCGTTAAGCGGGCATTGACTAGTAGAGAATTACCCAAATTATGCAAATAAGAAATATGCAGATTAATTTCATTCGCAGAGAAACAGGTCACGATCTGCTTCGGCAAATGGTCACTAAAAAGAAGATGAAACTAGTATTACTGAGCGAACCACATCGAAGTGTAGGGCGAAGCTCATGCACGCACGCACCAACAGTACGTCTGGGCGTGGGCTTCATGTAGGGGAAAGAAAAGAGTTTATACTGCTCGTACGCTTCTCTAAATATGTGGATTCCCAAGAGTCCACCACCACCGCCACCCTTGTGATCGCAGGCGCCATGCCAATAAATATTTTGGCCTATGAAATGAGTCGCATCCGCGAACGTCGTCGCCACATCGAACGCTCCTAAAAAGCCAAGAAGAAATACGTGCGGCTAGTGTTGATGAGTACCTGGCAATACCGATAGGAACGCGACTTAAATTTCTTGAAATTGTAATACTCCGCAAGTGGACATAATAATTTAATTCTGTCAGTAATGCATCTTAATACCGACTGAGTTAAAATTTTTAAGATGAGGGTGCAAACAAAATAATAAAAATAACGCAAGAGCAAGAACAAAAATAATATAATAATGATACTTGAATATGAAGGAAAACAAAAATTTGTTTATTTTAAAGCAGAAAGTTACATAAATAACAAAAAAATACATCAGAAAAACAAAAACAGGGGCTGTACTCATAAATGTAGATGATCGTAAACATGCAAAAGATTTGCATGTCATCAATTTGTTTATAAATAAGGTTTTTGAAGAAAGGCCCTGAGAGATGTGACAAATGTTTTCCGGATAAACTATATTAAAGGAATGAAAAAAGAAGCCCCGAAATCGGTTCTAAAAAATGTTTACTGTACAGAACTCAATTAGGCAAAAGCTAAAAGTAAAATCAGAAAATTTTTCGGAACGGGTAGAAAGATTAGACCGGGTCAAATTAGGGGGGATCAGTGGAGATCTTCGAACCTGGTTAGTAGTAGTATTCCTAACGTTAATGCAACAGCATGTATCACCCGGTGAAATATATACGGTTTAATTTTTTGAAGTTCTATGGTCTAAAATGCCTAACGCTTCAAGTGATATTCTTTCCCCTTTATTCGAAGGAAAGTGCCGGTACACTCAAAGACGACAAGTTGATCCCTCGTAATATAGAAAAAATAGAAAACCACACCAACGATAAGCGGAATGTCGTTGGCATTCTCCTTGGAAGGACTTTAAATACAGTGAAGTAAAACCTGTGCCAACCCCTCGAAAACAATCGCTGAATTATGGAGTTCTCTGGCAATTCCTTAAAAACGATATTAACAACCAATCAAGAGTCCATTTTTCACTTGGCACACGACAGAGTCTATATGTTCTCAAAGCAGAATTCCAACATCAACATGAGTTCAGGACACCAACGCTATAACCATAAAAATTTTACTTTCTTTTTTCTAAAGGAACGCAAAATTATTATTCTGTTCTTTGATAATATAAGCGTGAAGATTTCTAATCTAGAGACACTCTGAGGACGCAAAATAAAACGGATTACGGCGGGTTCCTGCACCGTAAGAATCTACCCGCTTCAATTCTCATAATTTTTTTTTAAATTATGCTGGATTACTTATTACATATCAAACGTATAGATATGTTCTTTGGCAAAAGCACCAGCCAAGCCAAGAGCAAATCTGATCTACAACAAAAAACTTCGCCTTAGTTCGATTTGAAATGTGGTAAACCAACTACACTCTTTTTTCTAACTATCTCAAATTAGCAGAATTTCTGTTCAAGGCGAACACAAATTTCTTCTCATTTTTGGTAATCTATATAATTTCTTTATGATTTATTAAATTTCTACTAGCATTTGAGAAACTTTTCCGTAAACCTAATAACAACTATTGAACGTAGAGTATAAAGTAGTGTAACTTTTGGCAGAGATATGAAAATGTATATTGTAGGAATCTTCTAATGCACAATAATAAATTTGATGGAAGGTAAATTAATATGGAAATTGAATTTTTCGACTGCCCACACTTCATCGTAGTATTCCACACTTTGGTCCGTAGTATTGACGTTACACTTACGCTAATACATTTACTTATAAGATAAAATCCATGATTCACTCAATATAAGTTGGAAAAAAGAAGAAAACTTTGATTACTATTTTTGCCAACTTTGTTTTTATTGGATGCTGACCTTGTTTCTTAATTAAATTCAGAACGCTTAACAATATCAAACACTGTATTTTGGTAATATTATGGGAACTGTATCAGAGGCAGTGCATTACAATTTTATTCCTGTAGGAGTCATTGTAGCATTCACTTGTATGCGTTCACGCTTCTAAACGCGTATGGTAGCCATTTATACAAACATGCATTTTTTTTTTTTTTTTTTTTGGTGTATATGTATTATAAATAAACTTATTTTAGCTTGGTCTTAATAATTGTATATTCATTGAAATATAAAATCTACGTCAAAATTGATCTGTTTTAAATGTGTGTACATGTCCGTAAGGTCTAATAAAATAGTCTAATTAAAAACATCCGCATATATGACTACCAAATCTATACAAATTTGTGAGACTGTTTAATTTTACAACAAATTTACAGAAACTTTTGATCTAGTGAGACAAGTGGATTTCATAATGTGCCTAGAGAGAAAATTTCATATTAATTATTAGTGTACATGCAAATCATAAAGTATGAAATTGTTGGTGAAATTTTTTAATTGAACTTCGCACAACAAAGTGCATTCAAACAGAATCATGTAAGTGCTCCCCTCTGAAAACATTCCCGCCTACACATAAACATGTTAGGTTATTGGTTGACGTGGATTAGATTTCTACTTCTATGAAGTATACGCATTTACAGTGAACAAATCGGAAATGACGATTTATTCAGAACGACAATTCATATTAAACCTTTGTTACTTTTCTGCCACAATATTTTATTGCGGATCTTGGGCTTCGAATCATTGCAGTGTTGCTTGGTTTATTCATACAAATATACCCATAAGTATACGCTATGATGTGGATATTGTTTATCCTCTAAATAATATTTCACAAAAACTTGCGCTTATCGGTTTTTTCGAAACACGTATTGAAATGTGAGATAACGGATTTTGCGTCACGCAATATATTCGTATATATATATATATTATTAAATCGACAGTAAATGACGAGAAGGAATAAAGCTTATAATATTCCTGGGTGAATGCTAGACGCTCATCGCTAGATTTTCGACAATGGCGAATTGATGGGTTGATTTGTAGAAGTTTGCAAAGTATTTTTCAGGACCATGGAAACGGGATTATAAGATTTTCCGACCTTTACGTACTAAATCCTTGTAGGGCTCTTCTTTAAAATAACATCATGCAATTCATAAATAATGTTTAATACACATGGTGAGTCGGCATTTCCTAGTAATATGTCAAAGACTAAATAAAAAAAAATAAAAAAATTATTTATTAATATGTATTTTGCTTGCGAGAATTAGTATAAAAAATTTTATTCTGTGAAAACGAAGCACAATTGAATATTTACTACGGAGACCGCCTTAAACTTCAAACTAATGCAGGCTACATTCGAAAATATGTCAAACTACTTACGTTAAACTGCATGAGTAAGAAACTACGACGCGACTGCACGAAGTAGTGTAACTGTATGTTTTAAACAGGGGACACCGTGCTTTGTACAGAGTATGTATAATCGAAAGGAGTGAACTTATACTTTATTTCCTTCTTTTTCTTTACGCAAAAGTGCTGCGTGTGATTGGCTTTGCCAAGGAGTGAACATCCGATAAAGCAATTCAAATAGTCTAATATTTTTAAATTAAAAATGCTATGCGAAAGCTTCAATTTATACATATTGATTTAAATGTTTTTAGAGACCTATCAGTCTAAGAGTGTGAACTGCATATATCGAGTTAGGGCAAATGGTATAGTGCAAAAAATATTTTTCGAAGAATGGCTTCTTTACAGCAAAATGAATTAGATCGAGTTTCTCACTATAATTTCAAGACCAAGGTTTTTCTATGTAAAAGCAGTATATTTTTGAGTGAATGAATAATTTTGAAGTCGTATTAGTGGATTTTTTTAAAAAACGGGCACATGAGTTTGCTTGAAAACAGGTTCAACGGATATACCAGACCATATCCACTTTCTTCATAATATAAATTAGTAAATCTTGTCCAGCAGATCTAAGAAAAATTTTCCCACATCCCAGTAAAATGACTCGAAATTGAAAGTGAAAGAAAAGGACGAGTAAACCGTTATAAAGCTATGTTGTGGTCCTCAACTACTACTTGTTAATTTTGATCAACACAATCACATATAAAATTTAAAGAGAATCTTTCTGCTTGACCAAGCGTTAGCTTCAACAGTGTAACTTTGTCGTTTACCTATGTTAACGTCGTCTACAATGAAGTTTAGAAACGATTACTTTTATCTGCCGCACACGTTGATCCTTTATAATGGCCACCCGAAGCGTTCCCAGCGTCCAAAGCAATTGGATTCCTGGTACTTTTGTTCACAGCCGTTTGACGCGATGGCGATATGGTGTTTTGATTGTTTGCCCTACTTAAGCAGTCGTATTGCGTTTGCTTTTGCGCTACCACAGACACAGATAGAGTGCCATGTGAAGATGCAACGGATTTAGGTAGCACCTCTTGACTCTGAGAAGAACACGTTGAGGTAAATGTGCGACTTTCACAAGTTGCTTCAGCAGATGATGTTTCCAACCTTGAGCTTCTTGTCGCCGATAATGGCAACATATTTATATGCACTGGTGTTTGTCGCATTGTTACGCCAATAGGCAGCGATATGTTGCGATTTAGCGAATGTCACCCATAAAAGTGGGACGAATCGTCGCTTGTTAAGCCACGGGCGAAATGTCGTGGTATTGTGGTATCATAATAGATATTTGAAGATGTCGGCATACCCACTATTGGATTGGATGTGGTTGATTTATTTGCAAATGACAACGCTGACTCTCCCATCACACTTGTAGGTAGTAAATGTCGCCGTAGCGTTCCGACATAAGAGTGTTGAGGCGCTGGCATTAAATATGATGAAGCTCCAATCGATTCATTGGCTGCTGAGCTCAATACAGATGTTGTTAAAGTCTGTTGGCCTTTAATAAAAATTCGGATAATTAATACAAGAATGTGGAACAGAGAAATTGATAAAAAATAATTTTCAAAAACTGAAATCAAAGCATCAAATATTCTTGTAAATGTATGTAATTCCAAAAAGAGAACTGGTTTATTCTACTTATATTTGAACACGTATACAAATATAGTAGTATGTATATGGGGGAACGTTGTGGAAATTGACGATAAGAACCTATTTTAAATCTAGAAAAAACTTCGCCATTCTACCCACTTTCAACGGGATGAAACAGTTTTGGCGTTGAATAAGCTATTTGCGCGTGCTTTATTTTTTTATTTTACACCTTACTACTTTCTTATATTAATACATAAACTGCAAGGTTAAAATTCAGTAGTATATATATCGCAACATATTGACGCAAATTTTGGTTCGCAGCAATTAAGAATTTTTTTTCTTTTGCTCGTCACAATTTTTGTCCTTTCCCGGTAGTGGTTTGTACAACAAGGGCTACACGCTCCGACCACATCACCGCACACACGCACACACATACACGATTTAGGGCTAAGCTCAGGCCACTGTGGGGGTGATCGGTCTGCGTGTACCCAAAGGTATATCAGTAAGTTAGCAGTCCCCGAACAAGAGCGGCAGAGGAGGAGTGGCGGCTGAAAAGGCCGCATAAGGAAATATGCCAGGATGCTGATATTAAGCCGTGGGGAACAAAGTCGCTCTAAAGAAGTTCAAAGGACAGAAAACGCCGCAAATCACGGGTAGTTAGAAACGAGAGCTAACGAGGCTCGCAGAGCAAACACAAAAAAAACATAGAAATATACATCCACACAAACAAATATAAGAGGAATTCTCATATATATACATTCATACCTACACATACAAGTAGATAAACATATATAACACTAACACGAAAACTATGGCGGCCAAAACCGGAAATAAAGGGACACCTCAAGGCGCACAAGCGGCCATGGGAGAAAGTCTGGAAATGTTGCCCGATCCGTTCAAAAGGAGGACGCGAATCCAACGCTCACCTGAGCAAATGGTCAGGGATCATACGCAAGTGAGTAGTCAGTGGAGGGCTCATTGAAATGATGGCCCCAACTCCTTCCGCTTCTGCCAGGCGCATCATTCATCAGCCGATGAGGGACTTCGTGGATATGCTGGCTGTGCTCCATAAAAAAGCCACGATAGAGCTAGGAAATCAAATGGCCAAAAAGGCGGTTAGAGATGGCATTATCCAGACTGAAAAGGGAGGTAGAGTAAACGTTACGAAAAGACTCAGAGAGGAGGGATCCGAGGATACTGCTCCGGTGAAGAAAAGTAAGCGGACGGGCGATGGGACAAATCCCAATAAGGAGGTGCCAAAGCAACCACAACACGCCAAGGAAGAGTGGACCGTGGTCCTGGCGAAAAATAAAAAGGCCAAGCCAATCAAATTGGTGAATAAGTCGGATGCGATTGTAATTAAGCAAACGGGCACTATGACTTACAGCGATATGCTGAAAAAAATAATAAATGATGTGGAGTTGCAAAAAGTCGGCGGAAATGTGACCAGAATTCGAAAAACACTCAAAGGAGAAATGCTGCTGGAGTTTAAGCAAAGTGCAAAGGATAAAAACACTGCTTACCAGCAATTGGTGGAAAAAGCGCTCGGACAGGAGGCTAGTGTCAAACTAATGACGAAGCGGACAAAGATCGAGTTTAAGGACCTAGATAAAGTGACCTCGGCGGACGACTTAATAGTTGCCATAAATACGAGGTTCAGCAGCATGAGTATCAAGAAGGCAGTAGTAATGTCAAGTAGGAAGGCATATGCCGGCACACAAACTGCAATTATTTCAGTGCCAACAAAAATACCTAAGAAGTTACTTGAAGCCGGGAAAATCAAGGTTGGTTGGGTAGTAAGCAGGATTAGAGAAAAATCCGCAGCGCTGATATGCTATAGATGCTTCGAGGAAGGCCACATTGCTAGAAACTGCAAAGAAGAGAAGGATAGAAGCTATCTAAAATGCAGCGAAGAAGGTCACCGAGCAAGAGACTGCAATAAAAGTCCGTGTTGTGGGATTTGCAAGAAACAAGGCAAGCCTCACTGGCCGGCAGAAATTTCTCGGTAAACATACGCGATGCTAACAAAGGAAAGATATGAAGTGTATGCAAATAAACATATATCACTGTCAGGCTGCACAAGAGGTGCTAAAACAGAATGTCAGAGAACTCTCTCTAGTAGTCTTAAGTGAGTTACACAAAGTGGGCACCGGAATCAGGTGGGCAAAGGACAAGACTGGCACTGCAGCCTTTTGGCAATGCAGCTCGCATCCGCCAACCATAAGATTTATCTCAGCAGGGGAGGGCCACGTTTGTGTTAAATATAGAGAGGTTTACCTTTAGTATAAACCACGCGGATTTCGAAAAGCGAATAAATGAGCTATGTAGAGACGCAAGGGGGAAAACACCGGTAATATTCTCCGGTGAATCTGGAAACTACAGCAGAGCAAACAAGTGAATATGAACTACCTCTCAGGGGTCCCAAATGGAAACCAGAATCTTTTGACGAAGCACTCTTCAAGCATTTTTGGAAGAAGCCTCCTTTGCGGAGGTTATAGCACGGATTATAAACGCCTGTGAGGGTTCAATGTCGAGACGTTGCTTCTCTAAGTCCAAGAAGCCGGTATATTGGTGGACAGAGGAGATAGCTGAACTAAGGGCTCAAGGTAACAGAGGGAGGCATGTCTACCAAAGATCGAGGGGGACTAGTGCTTATCTCAGCCACGAAGAAGAGCTCAAACTCAAGCGAAGGCTCTTTAAAAAAGCGATAATGGTCAGCAAGGAAACCAGTGGCCAGAACCTGATTAATGATATAAGTGAGGACCCATGGGGTAAGGCGTATAAGTGGGTAAGGAAGAAGCTAAAATGTTCAGACCAATCAAGGTGTGTAGAATTTGTGGAAGAAATAATTGGCAGCCTGTTTTCCCAGAAAACCATGTTTGTATACGTGCCACTGAGTGAGCGGAGAGATACTGTCAAACTCACTGGGCCTGAGGAGATGTTTGCCATTACAAAAGAAATAAAAGGGAACGTAATGTACGACGATATTCTGAGACTACATCTCCCAGAGGGAGCATGCATAGTGTGGTTTGCTGACGATATAGCGATAACTATCGTGGCAAAAACTTTGAAGGGAATTACCACTGCAGCGAATAAAACCACCGACATGATCAATAGGTGGCTGCGGTCATTGGATTTGAATCTGGCGGAAGAGAAAACAAAGGCGGTATTAATCTCTTCTAGGAAGAAAGTTGAAAAAGTTACTATTCAAGTAGTAGATACGAGGATACAGTCACAAGAAGCCATAAAATACCTAGGAGTGATGATCGAACGCAAACTTTCGTTTAAACGGCATCTGCAATACGGGGACGAAAAGGCAGCGAAAGTAGCAAAGTCGTTGGCGTGCTTACTGCTAAACCTGCGTGGCCTTAGGCAAGACCGTAGAAAGCTGATCGCAGAAGCGGTAACTGAGATAATAATGTACGGCACTTCTGTGTGGAAAAGGCCCTCGCTGTACCGGCATACATGAGAGACATCCAGTCAACATACAGGCTATGCGCTCTAAGGGTGTGCGCCGCATATCGGACGGTGTCGAAACATGCGACTTTGGTTATCGCTGGCATGTTACAAATCGACTTGCGAGCTAAAGAAGGTATGTATAGGGCAGAAGTCCACGGATTGTCGGCTAAGAGGCTAAGCAGCGAGCAAAACAGAGACTGGTGGAAGAGTAGCAGGAGCGATGGAGCAGAGCGGGTAAGAGTAGATGGACGCACCGGCTCATACCAGATTTACGGTCCTTTGTGAATAGGCAACATGGTGAGGTTCACTTTTATTTAACACAGCTAATAAGCGGCAATGGTTGCTTTAGGTCATATTTGAATAGGTTTAAAATAGAGCAGAACCTATTCTGTAGTTTTTGTGAGTGCCTCGAAGACGCTTTCTTTCTTTGTCCGAAATACCACAACGAACGACAGAGACGACAAACGGAAATTTAAGTGTTACTTCTCCCCGATAATCTTGTGACATATATGTTGCACGACCTGAAGATGTGGAAGGCGGTAGGAGTGTGCGTCGCAAACATTATGCGAAAACAAAGACAAGAAGAGCGTCAACGTAGGTTTTTAAGTAGTGCCTAAACGGCTATCCTCCTTGCAAAGGTATACCTAAATGGTCGTGCCATGCGGAAGGGAATAGGAGGGGTGGTTTTTAGCGGGTTAAAGTCTCGCACTGCCGTCATGTGCGCCTGTTAATGAATTTCCACCCCACAAAAAAAAAGCCCACACATACAGCACCCAGTAGGTGTGCAAACGCAGCCTCATCTCAGACAAAAGTTTCCGGAGTCGTCAAACAACAAGCCAGTAGATGTGGAGAACGTGGCAGCCTCCGAAAAGTTGGGCGGCTATATAAAATATTGGGGGTGATGCTGAAGGAAAATGATGGAAAGAGGCGGCACATAAACCAACGAATGCGCGACACAATAGACGGCATCAGATGTCTTGAGGAGCGTAACGTGAGTAACTATCGTGAAGGCTTAACCCCACAGCGCCCGATGGCACATGCAGCGTGCACCTTAACCTTAACAAGGTGTAGAGTAAACTTGCCTCGATTATTCAAGGTAATACTTAGGCACTTGGCCTCAGCCACGTACCTAAAACTGACTTCACTGGACACTGGAGGTCTGCTGTACGGTAGGCTACCTTTCAGCACAATCATCACAGCTTTCTCCAGCGATACATCAACGCCAACGCTATATCCCCACGCACTGATCACTCTCATAGCGCTTTCACTGCGTTTTCTATCACCTTTCGAGCCATACCCTTCCCTAAGAGGAGCAGGTCATCTGCATATGCAGTGAAGTCAAGTTTTCCATTAACTTCGCCGCACATGCCTTCTAGCTGCCTTAACAAACTATCCACAATCCGTGTGGACAACTTCTAAACACATCCCTGAAGACAATGTCGTTTCTGCCGACAACAAAAGCTCGCCACTAAGAGAAATCGCTAGCCTAGAGTTAAATTTCTAGGCAATTTACCTCTCCCAGCATGGCAAGTGTATTGTTCCCATTGAGAATGTCGAATGCACCCTTAAAGTCGATAAATATGGCTAAAACACTTTTCTCGTCACAATCCTTGGCACATGCCTGCACATGTAGCCAGGCATCTTCCGTACGGAGACTCTTGCGGAAGTCGAATTGCCTCAAAGACAGACCAAGAGTAGGAACCATCAGATTATACAACACTAAGAAGAAACTTCACCTATAATTTGGTTGCATAAGCCAAAAATTAGTTCTGGCATTTTGCTAAACCATAAGGGTAAGCAAGCGTTGTCACAAGGGGTGTCACCAGCAAGCAGCAGCAACGAATCCATATACCTAATTTAGTCATCCAGTTCTTTATTGAAATTACAATAAAGGCTTGCACAAACAACCTTCCGTACGGGCCTTCAACGGACCCACAAACACCATGACTATTTGCTAGGGCAAGTATAGCTTCCACGGTCACATCATTCACAATGACAGCAGAGTGGCTATTGTGGTCAAGGAATACACGGCACCTGTACTAATGCCACTCCATTGCCTACCTCACGCATACACTGGCCGAACTCACACGCAGTTATATTTCAGTATGAGCAAGGCCATTTTCATGGCGAGCTACCACCAGAGCAACCATCCTATTGTATTCCGTACAGGCGGAGGACATCATAAATTGACCCGCTGGGAGCACCCTAAATTCACAATTTCTACAGTGTGCAGCGTTCGTACACACACTGTATCTGTGGCCACTTTGATCATAGTTTCGATAAATTATCCCCCTCGCCCTGCAGTCTTTAACCATATGGCCAAAACTGAGGCAGCGGTAGCGCATGGACACCTCGTTGTAGAGGCGTACCGGGGACGACTCAGAATGCACTCAGCAACACTCTACCAGCAGCAGGTGGCGGATTTATAACGTCCGCCGCCTTTCTCTAATTCTTCGATGCGGCTTCTAAAGGGAGCATTTTCGGCCACCAGAACTAATAGAATCGCCTCATACCTGCCACCAAAGCTTAAAAGCTCACTAGCCCCCTCTAGCGAAACTAATCTGGTGAAAGAACGCAATTCTGCAGGCGAGTAGTCATCGCCTTCACCTGGCTTACCGACCCTGCAGCAGCATTCCATTCCTCCACACGCACTGGCCTGCTAGCCGCGGTTTTCGGCTTGCGCCTCTTCACCGACCGTGAACCAGAAACCGTAATCATCGAATCACTACGGTGCATGTTCCCTTTAACCGCGGTGCCGCTATCCGACATATCGGACGGATTGTGGTTGCGTTTTGGACTACGCCCTTTTAATGGTCCAATCTTTTAGTCACCCTTCGCCACCACACACTCTTCATCGGAGGACGTCATTTCCTCGGATACCTCCCCAACAATACTCTTCGGGCCAGGGTTCTTCTTCCTACCCTTCCCCATTGCACACTCATCTACTGAGATATATTTATATAACTCACTCATTGCACTTGTACAGTAAATAAGGCTAAGTATTAGATTTCAATATATATATATAATTAAATATACAGTAAAAGCTCCTTATTAGCGGGGTATAGATTCCATAAAAATGTCGCGAATACAGAAAATATGTAAATACGGAATGATAATTTATATGGGATTATAGGGGGACTATAGGACACGTTCCTAAGTGAGAAATATATAAAAAAATCAATTTAATTGAAGTTTTTAAATATTTTGATTAATTATCTTCAAGCTTCGGGAATGGTTTGAAGAATTTTGTAAGTTTCTCTTGTTTGGTAGTTTGTAAACGCTCCTTCAATTCAGACCTAATAAGCAGTAGACGCATTAGCAATTTGCCTCTTAAAAATAAGACTTCGTTTCATAGACGGATCAATGTTTATAAAGAAACCGCCAAGCTCATCTGCCATTCTTACACCTTCACTAAGACTTTTCAAATTGAATGTCCCGTTTCTAGTGCTTGTTGAAGCCTCTTCTTCAATGGGCGGTGAATTTATCATTTCCTCCCAGTCGGTTTCAATCAAATCTTCATCTTGCGATTCAAGCAATTCCTGAATGTCACTTGATTCTATCGGTTTGAACCCAACTCGTCCTATTCCATTCGCGATTTCGGCTATGTTTGCAGTCAAAGTTTGAACTTGTACAGATTCTTCGTCATTTTCTACAGTCAGAGCCAGTCAGGCTTCATTTTTTTCCAGCTTGGCTTCATTTCTTCCAATAATTCTTTTATGTTTACGATGCATTTTGCTACGTCAAATTTCTTCCTGCATTCCATAACATTCATATCAGGATTACATTCCATATTATCCAACGTTCGTCTAATGTAATAGACCTTAAAGGGCTGGCTTATTCCTTGGCCCATAGGTTGAAGCAATGCCCTCGTGTTGGGAAGTAAAAATGTCATTTTTATGTTTGGATGCATAGTTTCAAGTACGCGAGGATGACCTGGTGCATTGTCCAAAACTAGAAGTACTTTAAAGTCTAAATTCTGCTTTTTTTAAATAAGTTTCAACTTCAGAAATAAAAAAATTCCGGAACCTGTCACAAAAAATCCGCGAATAAAGAAATATATAGCCGCG